AGATCCAGAGCTGCTCATGGCACTGACAATGAGACTGAGATCCAGAGCTGCCCATGGCATTGACAACAGGACAGAGATCCAGAGCTGCTCATGGCACTGACAATGAGACTGAGATCCAGAGTTCCCCACAGCACTGACAGTGGGACAGAGATCCAGAGCTCCCATGGCACTGACAGTGGGACAGAGATCCAGAGCTCCCATGGCACTGACAGTGGGACAGAGATAACCTGTGGCACCTTCCTCAGGGCTCACAGGCTCAGCAGAGTCGCTGTCACAAACAGATTTTGCTACACAAAAAATCTCTCACCACTTTCTCCATTTCTTCTCTCTCCCACTGAGTTGCTTCTCTCACCATTTCCATCTCCTAGGAGAGAGCAGAGTTAGAGCCACCTCAACCAGTGCTCTCTCCACACCTGGAGCACCTGGAACCTCAGGAAGGCACCACAGTCCCATCCTAGCGCATTCCTGATCCATGTGCTGGGACCCGCTGATCCCATGCCATGTCCAGTGCCTGTTACGTTGCAGATTCCACACACCAAGGGAGACTAACTAGAGATTTCCAGAAACTGTTTCCACTCTCCCAGTTCAGCCAGAACACCCACCTTCTGCAGGATCTCCAGTTCCTCAGGGCTCAAATCCCGGTCAATGGAGGAGATGCTCTCTAGGCTGTTCTTGCGCCCAATGCCAGCAGCAAAAGGGTTTGCAATGATTCCTGGGGACATCTGCAAATCAAAAGGCAAATCTCACCTGGTGGAAGTCCACAGAGTGCCATTCCAAAAATTCCCTATCCCAGGCTCCCAGATATGGAGTACCAGGACAATTCCTGATTGTCAGAACCAGAACTCTTTCACAATTTGAAACCTCATTGCATAGAATCCCAGACTGGTTTGGGTTGGAAGGGACCTTAAGAGCACCCAGTTCTACCTCTGCCATTTCAGCTGACAAGTGCTTGAGGATCCTGAGGTCTAAGAAAGACGAATTTGAATGGACCCAGGAGCAGGAAGGGGATGAGCTGAGCAGGGATTGGGTTCATGTTCTCCTGAAGAATACAAAAGCTGACTAGATAAGCCTTGAAAACAGAAATCTGAGAGGGCACGGGATTGCTCCAGGGAAGTGTTACCCTGGAGAAAGGCAAGTGGAGAAAGGCAAACAACAATAAAGAGCCAGACAACTGACTGTAAAGGAAATATTGGCCAAAAAAAATAGGCACAAATAGCCTGGAGAAAATGAGCTTGGAAACTTCATTTCAGTGCAGTGCTAGCATTGGACAATTCTGGAACCAGCAGGAATGAGACAGTCCTGAGGAACCACTGCTTTTCTGGACTGGCAACCACCTCCAGTTCATATCACAGGTCAGACTGAAATCTGGGACCTCAAAAAACATCTACAGCAAACGGCTGGGAAACCCCAGCATTCTGTGAAGAAAGAGGTAGGATCCATGCGGGGGGATCCTGGTCACCCCAAGGGCACCCCCACTCCAGCCCTCACCTCGATGGCAGCTGCAGCCTTGGGGTCGAAGCCGTCACACACCAGCACGAGGAGCGCGTCGCCCACCCCTCGGAGGATCTGCACCGCTTCCGTGTGCGTCATTCCCAGCAGGCTCTGGTGATTCACCTCCAGGATCCGCATCCCCACCTTCAGGCGGCCATCCCGGGCTGCAGCCCCGGAGGAGCTCACCTGGAACAAACCGGGGAGTCACGGTGTCACTGGAGAGGTGACAGAGGAGATCAGAGAGCACGGGGACCATCGGGAGGACAGAGCGAGAGGGGACAGCACACACGGGGAACAGGGACAGTGAGCCAGGGAAAGCATCTGCAAGTACTGCTGTAGACTGATGGAGAGAGCAGGGGAGGAAGAACCTGTACAGGCTGGTAGAAGAAACAGGTGTGGAAGAATCTCTTATGGGAGATAAAAGAATGTGAATTTGAAATGTGTTGTCCCAAGGAAACAAACTGCTTTGGCTTTGCCAGTGAAGTGGGTGAGAAGGAAAACCTCTCAAATTATGACAGATCTCAGAAAGGGAAATCATTGTTTGGTGGGAGAGAGACACAATGGAAATGCAAATGAAGACAAACTAAGGAGGAAGTAGGCAGGGATCAGACATGCAAAGAGGAGGAAGAAGAAAAGCATCACTTTTGTATCTCTGTTAGTGGAAATACACAGCAAAAATCAGAGGCAGGAACTCCACTCTGGATAGGACAGATAAGAGAGGCTGAGGGGAGTAACACAGCTGAAGGGAGAGCAGAGCCATGCAGGGCTTTGGTTCTCTGCAGGTTAAAACAACCAGTACTGCGAAAAAAGGGGAGGGAGGTGAACTAACCCTGTACTGTGGCTAAACTGTGACCCTTCCAACTCCCAAATACTGCAATGCTGCGAGAGAGAAAACCAAACCCAATCCTTAAAAACAACCATCAGTTACAATAATCCCAGGTTTTCTTTTCCTGCTATTGCAAATGTCTCAGGTGAAAGTGCAACTGTCGCTCTAACAGAGGGAATTTAAATTTACTCTTTTAACTTTAGAACCCAGATAAAGCAGTTACAGCCATGTAGTGAAAAATGCTGTATGTTCCCCTGCCTTGAGTGCAGCCAATTATCAATTATCAGGGCTGACTGGCAATTATGGAGTGTCCCCAGCCAGGAGGATGATTTACATCAGTCGCTACCCCACAAGACCAGCTAAAGAGGGAACCAGTGACACCAAGGTGAACCAGAGTCTTTGAACCACAAAGGAGACCCAGAGTCTCCTTTGCCAGCAGCAAGACCCACTTATTAAAATGACACCACTTATTACTGTGCTCCACTGCCAGCAAGGAAGAAGAGGTAATAAAAACTTTTTGGAAAGGGTTGGGAGGAGCATAAGCTGACGCACAGTTCAACAAGAAAACACGTGTTACTTCTGGGGGAAAAGTGATATGAGAAATAAGTGTGACACAAGCAGTCACTTACAAAGGGAACAAAGTTGCACACATGGTGTGTGGCACAGGAGGAAAGGGGAGTAATTCCTGATGCTTCCCATGGAAGGAGGGAAGAGCTCATGAGTCGGGGGGGCAGGAAGACACAGGCATGTGGGAAGCAACAAGAATGTGGGGAAAAGGAAGGATGTGTGGGTTCACGTTACAGAAAAAACATAAGAGAGGAAACACAAGGCAAAATAAAGGCAAACAGGAAATGGAAGAAGAAATGGTGTAGCTTTTGTAGAGGAGGAAATATGAAAGGACAGGGATTTGCCTCCTTAGGTGGAAGAAGAGTGTCTAGAACTGCTGCACCAGTGAAAGCAGACAGAGCACACCCAACAGATGCCCCAGGGATCACCCTTCTCCCTGGCAGCCCTCGCGTGGCATCGACCTGCAGAGTTAATGCTCTGGTACCTTGGAAATGAAGATGCCTTCATCGGTGGGATCAAACGGATTGCCAGCATGGCCCTTGGCTCCACCCCGGATGCTGATGCCCAGCTTCTCTCCTGGAGCCTTTTCAATGCATATTTCCTGCAAACACAGAAAAGTGTTCTTGTTTCTGGGACAAGATCGCGCTGGGATAGCTGAGGGAACACTCCTCGGAGTGGCCATATTCTGAATGCCCTGAAGAGAGCCTGAATTAATCCCGTCCCTCACTTGGCAGTTTGTTCCCTTTGGTGAGGGAACACCCTGCTCAGGTGTGGTCTTCATGGAATCTGGTCATTCTCTGATGACAGTCACCACGGGCATGGCAAGAGACCCTCACCACTCCCCCACTGGAAATATGCTTACAAGAGACTGGATCCTTCCAAAGGAGAAGGAAATTCCAACCAGGACTCTGGTTGTGTCCTAGTCCCAGACCTCCAGCCAGGTAAGAAACGGCCTCCAGAAGTGACCCTGTGTGACTCCCCCCAGTGCTGTCCCTCAGAACCCACCTGCATGCCAGGCGGGGGCGGGTCCCTCCGGACCAGCATGGTGAGCTCCTGGGCGTTGGAGAGCAGCGCGTTCACCGCTTCCTGGTGGGTGGCGTGGCGCAGGTCGATGCCGTTCACCTCCAGGATCCTGTCCCCGACGCGGAGCCCGCTGCGCGACGCCAGCCCCCGGGGAATGACCTGCAGAGAACCAGCAGCACAACTGGAGAAGGGAATTCCATCTTTCCTTGGAGATATGACTGTGTCCCTGGGCATCCTCCCACACCCTCCAGGCCGGTTTTGACTCCTCTCTCTGCAGCCAAAGTTCCCCAAGAGGTGACATATCTGTGAACACTGGCAAAGAATGAAGTGGGATTTGCTCTGAACTGTCATTCCGTATGTTAATCTCATATTCCCAATTTTACCTGAACCAAACCTGTTCCAGCTTTGCCATTCTTTTGTCCGTGATTGTAACCAAAACTGACAGCACCAGTACAACTCCAGCCCTCACCCAGTGCTCTCCCCTCACCCAGGGAGGGTGAGAGCTACAGAGGGACTAACCACGGCACCAAACCTCTGTTTCTGGTAAAACAAAGGAGTCAGCAAGGAAAGGCTGACATCTGTGAGCACGTGGGCAAGCAGGGATGGTGGGAAAAAGTTAGTTTGGCTTTGGGAAGAGCAAATCCTGCTCCACTGACCTGCTGAAGTGCTGCAAGAGGAACAATGGGCGCATGAAGGAAGGGATCTGGCAGGAAGGGATCTGGCAGGCATCACAATTCCAAACAGCCCTTAACAAGAAGGTCTGAACCCTGACTCCCAGCCACAGGTGTTAGAGGAGACAGATTCAGCATCTCCATGGGACAAGAGATGTTGGGAAGCAGAAAGGGCTGGGCAGGGATGTCCTCTCCAGCATCCCCAATCCAAGGAGCATGGATGTGAGGGAATGGCTTGCAGCCAGTGACTGGCCTGTGTGCTGTCCCTAAATGGCATCAGTTGATGTCACCACTGGAATGGGAACTGGGGTTGAAGGGCATTGGCCTGAAAGCAGCAGAGCAGTTCTGGGTGTCCCTGCACTCACACACTCATCCCACCAGTGATGACTGGCTTTCTGCAACACCAGCATTTTCCCATGACTCAGTAAAGCCAAGAGGAGCTCAGCAATTTCAGAAGCTAACTGGGATCCCTCCAAAGAGTTTGGCATGGATTACACAGGTTTGAGGCTTTTATGTGCCCTTAGGTGGCTCCAGCAGCGGCAGCACATCCAGTACAACCCTTCACACATCCCCCTCCCATCCCTTTATTTCATAAATCCATCCTATACTTCTGGACTTGCATCAAAACCTTTCACCCTAACCCCAATAATCCAACAGCTCAGGGCTGGGTGGCTCTCCTGGGTCTCTACCTTGGAGATGAAGACCCCTGGCTCATGAATCCCAAAGGGATGGCTGGAATGGTCACTGCCTCCGACGATGCTGAGGCCCAGGGGACCACCCGCTTTCACCAGATGAATCTCCTTGAGGGAACAAGAAAAAGAGTCAAAGGGAATGAGGGATAGCACATACAGACACCAAACACTAAAAAACATGGAATCAGGGGTGTTTTGATGGGTGAACACCCACAAGACAAGTTCCCCCATGTGGGACAGTGCAGCCTGGAGAAGAGCTGGAAGGGGCTCCAAGAGAGCTCGAGAGGGACTTTGGACAAGGACCTGGAGTGACAGGACAAGGGGGAATGGCTTCACACAGACAGAGGGCAGGGTAAGATGGGATACTGGGGAGAAATCCTTCCTTGTGAGGGTGCGAAGGCCCTGGCACAGGTTGCCCAGGGAAGCTATGGCTGCCTCATCCCTGTGGAAGTGTTCAAGGCCAGGTTGGATAGGGCTTGGAGCAACCTGGGCTAGTGGAAGGTGACCCTGCCCGTGGCAAGGGGTGCAAATGGATGGGCTTTCAGGTCCCTTGCACCCCAAGCTTTTCTATGACGACTTCTCCACGCCCCGAGAACCCAGCGGGCCAACCCCCATCCCAACACCACTTCTCAAATGAAACCCACCCGGGACTGCACTGTCCCGTACCCCCAGGCCCAGCTCACCTCGATGGGGTACTGGTCCTCCAGCCCTTTGGAGAGGTGGTTCCTCTGCGGCGCGGGCGTCTCCTGGGGCGGGCTGTCCCCGGGGCCGGGGGGCGGCGGGGGGGAGTGCATGCGCACGCGGGGCGCGCCGGGCGAGGCTCCCTCGCCGGGCTGCTCCGAGCCCTCTCTCTCTACCAGCAGCACGATGGTGGGGGAGGCCGCGGTAAGCAGCGCTACGGCCTGATCATGCCTGGCTTCTGTCATGTCTACCCCATTGATCTAGAACGACCCGCAAACTCAGCGTCAGACCAGCGCCCGGCACTTCCCGGCGTTCCAGCGCTCAGCCAAGCCCCCGAGGGACCCCATCCTGCTGGAACACGGCCCTGGCTCAAAGGCCTGTGCCCCTAAGCACCTTGTAACTCACCCTGCTCCCTCCTACCTGGCACGGGGACATAGGTGCCTGCTCATCCCTGCCGGATCCCAATCCCCTTCCTGAACAGCTTTCCTGCCCCTTTCCCACCTTCCCTCTGCACATGGTGCCCTGCAGCACCACTGATGCTCCAGGGGACCCCACGGGCCACGTGTGATGCTCCACCTCCTGCACCCCCCCAAACCCAGCTGGGCCTGGGCTTTGCTGCAGCTCACCCAGGAGAACACCCAGCACTCCCTGGCTTTCCATTCCAGCTTCCCACTGGGACAAGAGGCTGCAGTAAAGGAATGAGGCCAAACACCTCAACATGGGAGAAGCCAAAACAGCAATTTTCAGCCACGATGCCACAAAACATCGATGTGCTGGGGCACCTGCTGCATTGTCACCGGGCCACCTGACCTTATCAGCCACCCAAAGCCCAGACACAGGCACTGAAGGGTGACTGGACCTGTCACTGGTCACCCAGCCACTGGTGGCCACCTGTGCTGGGCAAGGTCATGGCAGCCTGGGGGAGATGATAGCTCTAAGGCATTAAAAGTGACCCCAGGTACAGAGAGACCAGGAAGCACAGAGAGCCTTTCCTACAAAATGAAAACAGATTTCCATGAAACTCAAAGGACCAGAGGGATGCAACTGTTCTCCACAAATGTATGAGAGGCAGAAAACCAAGAGCCAAGCTGGAAGAACACTGCCCAAAGGACAAAACTTGCCAGGAGAAAGTTGAAGCTGAAAATTAAAAGGTTTCTAGTCATTAGGTTCTGGAAAAGCTTTCCAAAATGAACGAGGACATGAAACCAGCAGCTGCCAAGATGGGGTTTGATTAGCTCATGAATGATGATGATGGCTATTAATAGCCACAGCAACTGGGCTTTGTCCAATTCCTCACAGCCTGATTCCCAAATATTGTTACTCCCCAGCTCCTTCCCAGAGAGCAGTTCCTGCACTGAGCTGACACACACGGTCTGACAGGGTTTTGTCCAGAACCCCAAAGACACTCCCAGCACTCACCTGACAGGCCCTGTTCCCACCCACAGCCACAGGTGCTGCTCCCACTGTGACAGGGAAGGAGAACCACAAGCAGTCCTGTGCTGTGCTGGAAAATCTGAGCCCCACAGTGTCACCTCTGCTGAGGGGACTGTCCTCATGGGACATCTCTGGCACCAACCACAAGGATGTGAAGGCAGCAGCTGGCACATGCCCGCAGGAAGAGGAAGGATGAAAAGGACTTGGGTAGTGGGTGCTGAGCACAGGAGACAAGGCAGCAAGCAGGAAAGGTAATAAATTAACCACAAAGGTGCATGGACCTTAATGGAATGCAGGTAGCAGGGACAGGGCTTGAACACTCCTGGATGGACCATCGAAGGAATCACCCACGTTAGAGAAGTGCAACCAAACTTGGCAACCCATCCAGAGAGGCAATGGAGATTATGAAAGGTTATCTCAGCACAGCTCTTGTGGAAAGGGCCAACTGGCTGCAGGAAGCTTTAAGGTGGGTTGTGGGAACGTGTAGCACTTATTATGGAATGTTTTCCAAAAGGGAAAGGGGACTGGTCCAGGATGAAAGAGGAGGAACTAGCACAGGGAAATGCTGAGGGTGGAGAACAAGAGGCTGCTGGTCGGTGCCACTGTGGCCAAGCCCTGGGCCTGCTCACCACATCTGCTCTGCCCTCTCCCCACATTCTGTATTTACTGTGCCAGTCCATGCTGTTCTGGGTACGTGTGTGAGAGCTACTGGTAAAATTCAAGCTGGACTAGCCAGCAAGCAGGAATCCAAAAGGTGGTGAGAGCCAAGAGCTGGTCCAGAAGCTGGATGAAAGGCTCAGGGTCTGACCAAAGAGCCCCAAAGACCTCAGTGCTTAGGCTGCAGGTTGGAGAGCTACAGACATGAGCATTTCCCTGAGAGGCAGGGACTGTGTGCACATTCCACCAGCAAACCCAATGAGCTGGCAGGCAGGACCTGGGGGAAGCTGGCTGTTGTTCCTGCCCCGTGAGGACTCCCTGTGCTCAGCTGTGCACCTGTAAGGGCACTGCCCCCCTTCCTGCTTGTGTGAATCTGGGGCCAGCTGTGTCTGCATTCCACCTTTGGAATCTGCACTTACCCCTGCTGATGGCTGGACCTGGGAGCAGGGAAAGTGGCAGCCACGTGCCCAGAAGAGTGGGAAGGGAGGATCCCTTGGGTCCTCAAATGGTTAACAAAGGTGACACACAGGAGAGACTCGGCCTTTGGGTTCTATTACCAGATCAAGGCCTAACAAAATCATTGAACTGGAACAAGATGATCTTTAAGATCCCTTCCAACCCAAGCCTTGCTCTGACTTTGTGACTCTACAGTAATACTCCACAGACAGACCTGCTCCAGCATCACCCACTCTCGATTTCTCACATCCCCTCTGCTATTTTCCTGTCCCTGACACGATGAGAGTGGTCAAAGGGGGTCAGACTAGAAGGGCTCAGCTGTACCTCCCTAGAACAGGGATCAGGGCACAGGACTCCCAGAGGTGTATTGTGTAACAGCCCTTGATGCACTTCACCCAGTAATTCTGCATTACCTGGCAATGCTGGAGCCCTCCCAGCCTTTAGGCAGCTCATTTTCCATGGTCTTTATCTAGCTAGAAAGCAAGGCCAGCCATGCAGCGCAGCTTTCTGAGAGCCCAAGAGGAAGGGACAGCGTCTCTGTCCTTTCCCTGTTCCACACACTTCTCTGTGTGCCAGGAAATTATATCATTCTGACAAATCTCTCAGGGATCAAACTGCCTCATCAGGACTCCATGTGTCACCTACCACTGTCCTAAATCTCCCCAGAATCAGTTTTCTTTAATCTACTCCCAGTCTCATCCAAAAACACCAGCTGTCCCTAGTGACTGCTCCCAATTCTGCACCTTCCCTGCTAGATTCCCATCCCACAACTCCAACTCTCTGACACTGCCCCCAGCAGCTCCCTGCCCCATGTCTTCCCCCACCAAAAGGACTCCTAAGAGACATGGGAACACAGAGAAGTCGGGGAGTGAGTGTCACTCACTGGGGAATTTTGGGGGGTGTTAACTCGGAGAAGAGACCTAGGCTGGGCTCTTCATCCATGTGCTCAAAGCTCCCTTAGGAAAGTCAAAGGAGCGATTCTGGTCCTTCCCCTGCAGAAGGGTCCAGGAGGGTTTAGAGCACAGGGGAAGAGCAGGATGCTGTGCTGTATCTGTTTTCCTAAGAAAACAAGAATCCTTGACAAAGTGAGAGCTGAGGCCATGAGACCACGGCTTTGGAAATAGGCCCTGCCTGTGGGACCCATGAGCCCAGTACCTAGAGAGGGCCCTCCCCTTCCCCATGCAGGTACAGGGAACACACGCAGCCTGCACCCACATCCCAGGAATCACCACAGCCTGGAGCCTTTCCAACAAAAATGGGCAACCACTGCTTCAAAAGGGTGTGGAAAGCAGGCTCAGAAGTTACAGGAATAGTCCAGTGAGTGTTCTCCTGGAAAGTAGTAACCTGCTTCTGCATTAATCAGAGCTGAGCACAGGACCTGAGCTGCAGCTGGTGCTCAGCACCAAACCTGTATGGCCACATTCACCTGGTACAGGTACCGAGGGGAGCCATGGGGGTGTTGGGACTAATGACAGCAAGGCCTCAGCCACATCAAAATCCAGCACAGGCCCCAAGCCCTCTAAGCCCTGAGCCCACACAACCTGCTTGGAATTCTCTGCAGGCTATTACTAGGGAATTAGATCTGCTTTTCCTACAAAGCTGCCCACGGATATAAATAGAGCTGGTGAAGGGGGGTGGAGACAGGTTTGACTTTTGACTTTGAGATTTTCTCTCTTCTTGCCACAGATAGAGCAAACCAACCCCAAATGCTGGGCCTAAGTCTTGCCTCTGTACCAGGGAGCATTAAAACATGAACAAACCCAAAATAATTTAGTCTATGTGGCACCAATCAGGATCAGGGCTTGATTTTAAGAGGAGTGGGGAGCTCTAGCAGGAAGGGAGTGATGCTGTACCAGTTGAAGTCTCCTGCCAAGACACTAATGTGGGACTTGGGCCTGAGCTCCACTGAAACGTGCCCAAGCAAATACAACACAGCCCCAGCCCAGGGATAGAGCAGACAGAAGCCAGCACTGACGAGGCTGTATCAGTGTTTACTCACGCCAGCGCTGTGGTAACACGTGCTCTTACCACAGCAGCTGGGCCAGAAACCCACCACCAGCACCAGGATGCAGGAGCTTTCCCTCGGAGGCAGCATGCGAGCGTGGGAAGAGGGTCGGGAGGCTCAGGAGAGGCTCCCTGGAGGAGGGGAGTGAGGAACAGTAGGCAGAGACACGAGGTTAGAGCAGTGAGACCCGCACGGACAGGATGGGAAACGGGCCAGAGCTGCGAGTGAAGCAGGGAAGCACCGAGCTACCCCTGCCCTGCTCCACAGCACCCTCGGGCAGACGCCTCTGCTCCAGCTCACGGCTCACTCTGACCCCACTGTGCCCAAAAGGGCTCTATCCCTTCCACTCACCAAGGCAGAGCCCCCTCGGGCTGTCCCCCAAGCTCTGGAGGGACACCAGGCTGGGGCAGTGCTGCCACGTCACCTCTCTCCATGCCATCCCTGGGGGAAGCACTCACACACAGCCTTTGGGGAAAGGGGAGGTGTAACTGCACCCACCAACTGTCATGGACTGGGTAAAACCACCCACGTTAAATGCTCCCCCAAAAGGCTCAGGAGCTGAAAAAAGGCCCCCCAAAATCCAGCTTCAGTGCCAGAGAAGCAGCCCCTGCATGAGAGAGGGCACGGAGCCGAGTCAGCCCCTTCCCTGCACACCCACTCACCGAGATGACCCGGTCTCCGATGTGCAGGATTCCGTCCCGGTGGGCTGCACCACCCTCTGCGATCCGGGAGATGAAGATCCCCTGCAGCACAGTCAGGAGGGTCAGAGCAGCCTGGGCTTCCTCTTCACCCGGGCCTGGCTCTACAGACCCGTTCCTGGGTGCCAGGCAGGTCCCAGCCCTCTCCCCTCCACAGACCCTTCCCCTGCCCTGGTGCTTCCCGTTTGTTCTCCACTCCACACAAACTCTCCGCTCCCAGAGCCACTGTCAGCAAAGCCTTCCCATGGCCTAGAGCCTGGAATATGTGCCAAGAGGGCAGCAGCAGGATTAGATGTCACTGGCAGAGATCGGAAGCCCCAGCCCCCCTCCTTCTATAAAAAAAGAGGGAGAGGGACTTTGGACAAGGGCCTGGAGTGACAGGACAAGAGGGAATGGCTTCACACTGACAGAGGGCAGGGTTAGATGGGATATTGGGAAGATATTCCTCCCTATGGGGATAGTGAGGTCTTGGCACAGGTTGCCCAGAGAAGCTGTGGCTGTTCCACTCCTGGAAGTGTCCAAGGCCAGGTTGGACGGGGCTCGGAGCAAGCTGGGATAGTAGAAGGTGTCCCTGCCCATGGCAGGAGGCGGAACGAGGTGAGCTTTTAGGCCCCTTCCCACCCAACCCATTCTGGGATTCCATGATTCCCTGACTTAAGAGCAGATCCTGGCTCTCAGAGTCCAGCTGGCCCACCAGCCTGGGGCCAATGCTGCATGCCCAGGGGTGAGGAAGACTCAGGGACCCCAGGGGATCAGGACTGACCGTGTCCCCAGCCCGGTAGGGAGTGGAGCCCTTGCCGCCGGCGATGCTGAAGCCCAGGCCCTTCTCGTTGCGCATGAGGCAGGTGGAATATCTCTCGGTGGCAGGGGCTCCCTCGGGGCGCTCAGGGAAGCGCAGCCCCCCGCGCCGCTCCCGGGGGCTGTAGTCATCCTCGGGGCGCAGTGGGGTGACGGTGATGGCGTTCTCCGGCTCCACCATCCGCTCCCGCAGCACCGTCATGGACACGGAGCTTCCCGACCCTCGCAGCGCTTCCACGGCCACGTGATGCTCGGCACAGTGCAGGGACACGCCGTTCACCTGGGCACGGAGCAGGGACAGCCCTCACCTCACATGCAGCTCCAGCCTCAGCCCCTGCAGAGCTGGGCTGGCACTGTGTTCCCACAGGTGTGCCCGCACCTCCAAGGAGCTTCCCTACGCTCCCACAGCACCTGCTGCCCGTCCAAGGCCAGGGCAGCCCAGTAAAATCCCTTTCAGAGGAATGCTCCCCTCACAGAGAGCTCCAACTTCCCTACATCTGTATGAACCCTGCAGGCAACAAGCTCCTAGAAAAACACACCCACCCAGGACCATCTCCACCAATAAAACTCAGCACAACTCAGGTCGACACAACTTCTTGTTCGCCTTCCTCACACCCTGCTCACACCCCAAAACACGCAGAGCTGTCAGTGTGACAGTCCCTTGGTGTGGGAAAGGCCGTGGAGCAGATCTGGAGTGTGGCATGTACAGGGGAACCAGAGGATCAGGCCCAGCCAGCCCGGGGTTGTGACAGGTAGGTTCTGCCTGACCAACCCGATCTCCTTCTATGACCAGGTGACCCACTCAGTGGGTGGGGGAAAGGCTGTGGATGTGTCTGTCTGGCCTTTGGCAAAGCTTTTGATCCCGTGTCCCACAACATTCTCCTGAGTAACTGGCTGCTCGTGAGCCAGAGTGTGCCCAGGTGGGCAAGAAAACCAATGGCATCTGGCCTGTACCAGCCACCGTGTGACCACAGGCCCAGGACAGTTCTTGTCCCCCTGTGCTGGCACTGCTGAGGCATCTCCAACCCCGGGGTCAGTTCTGGGTCCCTCACAAAAAGAAGGACATTGAGGGGTTGGAGTGTGGCCAGGAAAGAGAACAGAGCTGGGGAAGGGACTGGAGCACCAGGAGCAGCTGAGGGAGCTGGGAGGGCTCAGCCTGGAGAAAAGGAGGCTCAGGGGGCCCCTTAATGGGGCTCCAAGAGAGGTGGAGGAGATCTTTGGACATGGGCCTGGCACGACAGATCATGGGGGAATGGCTTCCCACTGAAAGAGGGCAGGGTTAGGTGGGATATTAGGAAGGAATTCTTCCCTGTGAGGGTGGTGAGGCACTGGAATAGGTTACCCAGAAAAGCTGCCTGTGGCTGCCCCATCCCTGGAAGTGTCCAAGGCCAGGTTGGGCATGGCTTGGAGCAACCTGGTCTAGTGGAAGGTTTCCCTAGGCATGGCAGGGGCTGGAACTGGGTGGGCTTTAAGGTCCCTTCCCACCCAAACCATTCCATGGTCCCACAATTCTATGAAGACAGACATGGTTCCCTGAGTAAGAAGTTATTCTACAGGGTCTACTTTTGCCCCTCCCAGGTGTGCAGAGCTCAGCCCACTGGAGATATGTTTTTTCCCACCTGCATCACACAACACTTCAGAGCTGGAAATGCAGGAGCTGTTCTGTCCTTATAAAGCAGTAAAAAATTCATGGTAACATTAATTAATCAACTATGAGCCAGAGGAATTCAGTTTTGCTCTTGCACAGCTCCTGATGCTGAATTTGGCCTAAAATGTGTGTGATGTGCATCTTCTCCCTCCACTCCAAGTCATCTAGAACCATTTGCTTCATCACAGGAGCCAGGCCCTTACCTCCAGAAGCTTGTCCCCAACACGGACCCCTGCGCGAGCCGCAGGACCCTCTTCGGACACACGGGAAATAAAGATGCCCTGGAAACAAAACCACCTGTTAGAGGTTGAGCCCATTCCTCAACCCTCTGGAGTGCAGAGACCCCTCCAAACCCTCAGCTCCAGGGAGAGGGTCAGTCCCTGGCCGGTCCTGGCATGTCCCCCCCTGACGTGGGGACATGGCAGTCACATCACCCCGTTCAGGAGCTGGGAAGAGGGGACAGAAACCCACTGCAGGGCTACCCCTAGGTGACACAGGGGATAGAACTTCCCCCCAGGTGACACAGGGGACAGAACTTCCCCCCAGGTGACACAGGGGACAGAAATCCCATGGCAGGGCTACCCCTAGGTGACACAGGAGAACAGGGAATGACACATTAACCCTTTTCCAGCGGGACCAGAACATGACACAGCTGATACCACGAGGTGTGGAACAACCCTGTACTCTTTGCCCTGTGAGTCCCATGCCTCAGGACACAGGTGGGAAGGAACCTGCTGCTCCCACGGCCACTCCAGGTCGGACCAACCAGTCCCACCAGCTTCCTGCTGGGGGGGGGATCCAGGGCTGCTCCCACCTGGCCCCGACACATATGGACACCCAACCTCCAGCTACAGAGAACCGGTCCCCAAAAGCAGGTGCCTGACCAGTGACACAGCTCAGGTCTTACCTCATCGTCCCCCTTATAGGGGGTGGAGCCCTTGCCCCCCGCGATGCTGATGCCCAGCCCCCCCGTCTGCCGCACGATGGTCAGTGTCAGCTGCAAGCAGAAGGGACAGTGGTTACGGGTCAGTGCGGAGCGGGGAGCGGCCACAACACCTCCAAGAGCAAGGGACGACTTTTAAAATGATAAATAATAACCCTGAGTGGTCTGCTTGCACATTGGGTCAGCCATGGAACCTGTGCGTGAGCCGTGGCACCTCTGGGTGAGCCGTGGCACCTCTGGGTGAGCCATGGCACCTCTGGGTGAGCCGTGGCACCCATGTCTCGGAGGCACCACTGTCACAACACACGAAACACACAAAGGAGATTCCACCACAGAGCAAACTGGGCAGCCTTGGGCTGGGACTGGATCACAGAACCAGCTGGTTCACATCACAGCCCGGCTCTACCACAAGGCTCCCTTTAGGTGTAATTCCATCTGCCACTGGGGGATTCCAGGTCACCCCACTGTAGTGTGCAGTGACAAGGAGGGCACTTCGTCCAGAATACTCTGAATGGATACTTGGCTTTGCTGTATTGATGGAAATCAACACATGACTCCAAAAAACCCATCTGCTCTGTCCAGCGGGATCCTTCCTCTGCTCTCCTCTGCCCCACTGCTCAGGATCACAGCTGAGCAATCCAGAAGTCTCTTCTCCTTCCTGCCTCCCACCTCTACATACCCAATTATGTGCATTGCCAATAGTTGGTCAAACTTGACCTGAAGCTGCTTCTATTCAGGACACCAGCATGAACCATTCACATTGCCATAGTCATGAGAAGGAAGACAGGGAACACGTGGTAGGATACAAGAAAAGGAACAGGATAGACAGGACTCTCTCAGGGTCAAGGACCAAGGAGTTGGTGAGGTAAGAGACAGAAACATGCACAGACTCCTGGTGAGAATCAAATTTGCTGTCCTCCAGATGTCACCTCTCTGGAAACAAGGCCCAGGATGGAGAGCAGCTGCTGCAGAGGAGTCGAGTGTCAGTGTCAGCTTCACGTGGCCACAGCGTGGGCAGCAAAGGGAGCAGAAGACTTGCCTTCCTTAACCCCTCCCTTCACCTCTACAATGATAGAAGCAAAAGCCTGAGGAGCTTCACATTCTGCTATGTTTAAACCAAAAACCAAACCAAAAACCCACTGCAGGAAGCATGAACCAAACTGAGGTGTGCCCTGCCAGTTCCTTTGGCACCCAGTCAACAGCACAGCAGAATGCTCTGGGATCTTCCTATGGAAATCCCCGATTCCAGACCCACTGTCAGTCTGTCATCTCCAGTGCAAGACCCAGAGACTGAGTGAATACAAGTACTGGAAGACAAGGATTATCAAGGTGAGACATAAATGGTATATAAAGGATTATAAAGGTGAGACAGCACTGTGTGTCCTCGACAGCCCAACTCAAGCCAGCTCCGGACCAGACAAACGCTTCTTATGTGACAAAGTCTCTTAGGAACTAATGACAAAATCCACGTTTTTCCTTCCAGACTCACTGGATTTTAGAAATGCTCTAAAGACTCACATTTGTGTTGTTTAAGGAGCATTAAGAAAACGCCCTCAGGTACGTGGTGGGATTTTGGGATTGTCCTGTGCAGGGCCAGGACCTGGACTTGATGATCCTGGTGGTAAGGAGATTCTGTGATTCTGTATTTAACACAAAAACTTCTACAGATGATAGAAAACCAGGTCTCCAGGCAAGAATTACAGAATAGTCTAATAGCAGGATCCTGGTATTTCCCAGGAAGACAGCTGATGGTTCTGCTCAGTGCCTGAATCCACGGGACAGGATCACGACTTCTGATGAGGACTGAGGACTGTACAATGTCACTGGTCACAGAAAGTCACTTCCAGCTGCACGGGAAGCTGACTGTGTAAACTACCTGAAAGATAAACCACAAACTCCTTGATTTCAGACATTTAGGAAAACAGACCAAAACCATGGGGAAACCTGTCAGAAAAGCCAATTGGCCCAAGGGGGAAGAACCTTCTGTCAATCAGTGTATACTGAAAAGCAAAACACCAAGCAGGAACCAGACTTGTTAAAGACACTGAGACAACAGCAGCTTCAATTGGCTTCAATTGGACGTAAATATATTAGGCTGGAAAGAAGATTTCAAACTCCCCAGGCAAACCAGTTTTACCATAAAACCAGTGCAGTGAGGAACTGAACTGGTGGATATTTGTCTGAACTATGCAAAGAGTAACTGATGTGAATATGAACCTGAGCAGGAAGGTCCTGGATCCAGCACCCTATAATGGCCCTTCACATTACAGGCCAGTCTGCTTCTTGCACTGAACCCAGAAGTTATTTGTTCTTCAAAGCTCCTCTGTCCTAAGGCTGCTCCAGACCTGCCTGGACTGCCACGATATTGGACTGACCCTGGAGCCACAACACAGAGCTACCCCCCAACAGGGACAGTTCAGCTCCCTCCCTGCCATTGCTCTTGCCATGGACTTTCCTGGGTATTTTCCTCCTTGTGCATTTTTCCCCCAAAGCTAGGGATCCACCCACAGCCATCTCAGATGTAACAACTGATCTGTGCTGCTCCCCACCAAAACTTGCTGCTCTTCCCTCTGCAGAAAGGACAAACCTTCATGAAGTGGGCAGCAAACCCTGAGTTCCTTGTTCCCCCAGACAGACAAGGTTCAGCCCTTCATGGAAAAATGCTGCTGTGAGAGGAGAGAAGTGGGCAAATTGCAAAAGCTGCCACGACAGCCTTGAGCCGCCATCCCTCGCTGAGCTCCCACTGGGAACCCATTCACCAGTGGCACCAAACATGATCCGGGAAGCATTTCCACCTCCTCCCCTCAGTCCTGCCTGTGTCTCTCCAGGGACACATCAAGCAAGGACTGGGGCCACCTCAACCCAGTTTGCATCTGGTTTTTAGTACAGCTGTCCTTTAACACGGAATCATGGAATGGTTTGTGTGGGAAGGGACTAAAAACCAAATCACCTAGTCTCACCCTCTGCCATGGGCAGGGATGCCTTCCACCAGACCAGGTTGCTCCAAGCCTCGCCCAACCTGACCTCAAATGCTTCCAGAGATGGGGCAGCCCCAGCTTCTCTGTGAACGGATTCACTTGATCCTGCAAGATTTCCCACCTTTCAGGGAATAACTGTGTACACCGCTCTGGAGGCACCAGAAGTGCTGCACACCTGGACAGACTCACTTTCCAGTAGCAGCCAGGGACACCTGGGCATTGCCCAACAGACCTGGGACAGTCCGAATTCACTGCTGTGCAACTGCCTGCTGGGGATTCCTGCGACTTGTCAGAGGCACAGCAGCCACAACCCATCCCCGAGACAAAGCTTGGAGCTGTTGTAATTCAGAGCTGCTGAAAGACCAAGTTCTTCCTCCACGTGCACTCGTGGGTTCAAGGGCTAGAGAAGACAGCAAGTTTCTGCCAACCAGGGCATCGATTTGTAACTCACTGTACATCAGGATGCACATAACTGGGGTCACTGTCGGGCCCTTCGTGACAAGAAAGACTCTGAGGGGTTGGAGTGTGTCCAGGGAAGGGAACGGAGCTGAGGAAGGGGCTGGAGCACCAGGAGCAGCTGAGGGAGCTGGGGAGGCTCAGCCTGGAGAAAAGGAGGCTTGGGGGGACCTTCTGGCTCTGCAACTCCCTGACAGGAGGGGGGAGCCAAGCGGGGTCAGGCTCTGCTCCCAGGGAAAAAGGGACAGGACTAGAGGAAGTGGTCTCAAGTTGCACCTGGGGAGGTTTAGATCTGATATCAGGAAAATTCCTTCCAGAAAGGCCTGTCCTGCCCTGGCTCAGGTTGCCCAGGGTAGTGTTGGAGTCCCCATTGCTGGAAGTGTTCAAAAAGCATGGGGATGTGGCACCTGGGGACATGGTTCAGTGGTGAACATGGTGGTAGTGCTGGGTTGATGGTTGGACTTGATGACCTAAACGGTCTTTTCCAACCTTAATGATTCCATGACTCTAAGTGTCCAATCCCTGCATTTACAGCCCCTGAAACTTTAAATGAGACTGTGACAGTGACACAGGAACCTGCAATAAGTACTTTGGATTTGTGTAGGGACAGACACGTGATGATGGACACGTATCACATGAAGGTGAGGGATCCCACTGAAACAGCAGCTGAAGAATCCACTTATAATACCATCAATAACCTTTCCAAAATTCAAAAGGACTGGACAACTTGTGCCCAAGAGTCCAAACAACTGCCTGAGATCTCTGAGAGGCTTTAGAGTATTTCCAAAATTTTGGTTTCTTGCCACCCCAAGTCAGTACTTACATTGTGCTGAGGGACTGAGAGACTCCAGATGCCTGTAACCATCAGCTCCTCATCCAGCAACCATTCCAGAGGAGTAACTGAGGAACAAGTGTGGCTCTTACCAGGCACAGAAATAGCTCTCATGAAAAACAGCTGAATTTTATGAAAATCAGATCCCTCAAAGCCCAAATTATTTTATTCTGACAAGACTCTAGACTTGGCTGATGAAGTGAAGATTCACTAAGCAGACCTGTGTGAAACATGGAAGCTGTGATCCAAGACCTGGCACTGCCTGATGCTGGTTCAGGTGTGTATTACACAAGCCAGGAACCACATAAGAGTCATCAGGGAAGAACCATTTGGGTTCTGCTGAGATGCATCAGGCCTGATCTCACTTCAAATCAGACAGAATTGAAATAGTTCTGTATGAGAGGAGGTGGGGAGGGGAGGAAGGCCCTTTTTATCTTTTTATTCCATTAATAATTTTATAGAAGATGATTATTCCATATTTGTAAGCACAAAGGAATTAGGGATATTCAATGGAATTCAGTAGGATATCTAATGCAAAAAATACTTTTTAACATAAAGTTCTAGCAAATTACATAATTTATTGCCACTAAATTCTGTGGAACTGCAATGTATAAAAGGGATGGGAGAAATCAGATAACTTCATGGATGGCAGTTCCACGGTGCCTCATACATTGGCATGAACAGAAATCCTGATCCACAGATTGCCAGGAGCTGGACACCCACCAGGAAATGACCCTTGTGTCCTGCTGAGGTCTGTGCCCCCCCAAGCCCCAGAGAAAGCCCTTCCT